AGTTTCCACTCAGCTCACCTTTGTGGCCCAGCTGATTTCATCAGAGTTAATGGTGAAATCTTGGCCTGGGGGAGCCTCAGGATTTACATGCCCAACCTTCATGGGGAGAAAAGATTGATTGGGGAGGAGAACCCAGTTGAGAAGATCATAGTGAGCAGATCCCAGTCCATCTTCTGAGAAGGAGACTTCATCTCCAGCACTGTTGTTGAACCGCACGTTGCTCAAATAGGAAAGAACCTGAAAGAATGGAGACCTTCAGAAATTGGAGTATTTGGGCTAGAGACATCATGGCTTCTGTAATCACATAATGGCCATCTTGAGATGATGAATTTATATTTTGAGAAGCTAGTTCCATCTCTTGGTGACGATCTGAGGAATGATGTGTAACACCAAATATTTAATTCTGAAACTAAACATTTCCCCTTTATCACTGGGCATAGTTTCCAACTCGAATATCACCAAAACACAAGAATTTGAGTTCCATAATCTCAATTTAATTTTAGAATTTTCCTCTTGTGATACTTGGCTACATACACTTTACAATAGTTCCTTTGGCCCAAGGTCTTGTTAACTCATAAATTCATTTCTATCAGAACTAAGAACCCATTAGGTCCACTTTGAATCTTGCTCTGTGCTGTGGTTGTCATAGAAACAGAATCACAGTATTGGGAGGTACATTGGAGGTCTTCTAGCCCAACCTCCTGATCAAGCAACAGACTCTCTACAGTTTTAGACAATTGGCTATCCTGTTTCTTCTTAAATGATTCCAGCAATGGGGCACCTATGACTTCTAAAGAAGGCCATTCCAATGGAGCGTATGTGCCCACACAGCAGCCATGCAACCCGGAAGAGGAGCTGCAACGGGGGCAAGTGTAATGGGAAATGAACTTCTGGTTTCCAGCATATGCATGTGCACTGGCCACCTAGTCTTCTGGTTACTGGCATGCATGCACTTGCAACGATCAGCTAGCTGGCGTGCATGCCCACACTAGAAAATGTTCCATTTTCCAGCACTGCCGCATGCACAAAGGCCAAATGATCATGGTGTACGCATGGATGCCAGAAACCAGGAAGAGGAATGGGCAATGCCGTGCATGCCAGGTGAAATGGCTCCACATGTCATTTCAGGCAATTGTGCCATATGTTCGCCATCATGGTTCTAGTCCAATCCCCTTCTCAAGCAACAGACCCTCTGCAGCTTTAGACAAGTGGTTATCCTGTCTCTTTTTGAATGACTCCAGCAATGGGGCATCTAAGAGTTCTAAAGGTAAACCGTTCCTTAAGAAATTTCTCCTAAATTCTAGGTTGCTTCTCTTCTTGGCTAGTTTCCATAGATTATTAATCAGAAGCTCTTTTCACACAGCAAACTGAGTAGCACAAATGGTAAACTAAAAAAAGGGCGGGGTCTCAGATGAATTTGTATGAGAGTTCGCAGGCATTTAATCAGGAACTGAAGAAATCCATATGGGGAGATTCCAATTAAAGTGTCTGTGGTCAAAAGCCACAGAAATTACCTGCCATGACTGGACATCTGAGATCCTCTTTCCAAGCCTCATCATGGTAGGTTGGACTCTGGATCCATACATTGCATGTAAAGCGTGTGCCAGAGCATAAAGAGCATTATAGATATTGTAACTTTCACCTGTCATTCTTTTTTCAAAAGTGTAATTGGGCAGATTCTGCACATTCTCCTTTCCTGTACATTGTTTTTCCCCCTTT